TCAATGTCAAATCTGAGAACGCACTGCCAAATCAAGGTCATAAAGATCTACCTCTATGTCTTCTCTTATAAGTTAGATCATTGATCCATTTTGAGTTAATTTTGTGAGGTAAGGGTTCACAATTTCATTGAACTTCATTCTTTTTTTTTTGAAACAGAGTCTTGCTCTGTCGCCCAGGCTGGAGTGCAGTGGTACAATCTCAGCTCACTGCAACCTCCACCTTTTGGGTTCAAGTGATTCTCCTGCCTCAGCCTCCCAAGCAGCTGGGACTACAGGTGTCCACCACCACGCCCAGCCAATTTTTGTATTTTTAGTAGAGACAGGGTTTCACCATATTGGCCAGGCTGGTCTGGAACTCCTGATCTCATGATCCACCCACCTCGGCCTCTCAAAGTGTTGGGATTACAGGTGTGAGCCACCACGTCTGGCCTGAACTTCATTCTTTTGCAGGTGGCTATCCAGCGGTCCCAAAACCTTTTTCTGAAGAGAATATTCTTTCTCTACTGAATAGTCATGGCACCTTTGTTGCAAATCAATTGACCATAGATGTTCAGGTTTATTTCTGAACTCTCAATTCTATTTCATTGGTCTATATGTCTATACTTATGTCTATATCACACTATCTTTACTACTGTAACTTTACAGTAAGTTATGAAATTGGGAAGTGTGAGTCCTCCAACTTTATTTTTCCTTTTCAATATTATTTAGACTATTCACGGTCCCTTGTAGTTCCATATTAATTCGAGGATTGGGCTGGGTGCGGTGGCTCAAGCCTGTAATCCCAGCAGTTTGGCAGGCCAAGGAGGGCAGATCACTTGACATCAGGAGTTCAAGACCAGCCTGGCTAACACGACGAAACCCCATCTTGACTAAAAATACAAAAAAATTAGCCAGGCATGGTGGCATATGCCTGTAATTCTAGCTACTTGGGAGGCTGAGGCAGGAGAATCGCTTGAACCCGGGAGGTGGAGGTTGCAGTGAGCTGAGCTCATGTCTAGCCTGGGTGACACAGTGAGACCCTGTCTCAAATTTAAAAAAAAAAAAAATAATTGAGGACCAGCTTTTCCATTTCTGCAAAAAAGGCCATTGGAATTTTGATAGGGACTACACTGAATCTGTAGATCATTTTGGGGAATATTACAATATTAGCAACATAAAATCTCCCAATCCATGAACATTTATTATATGCATTTATGTCTTTTATTTCTTTCAGCAATGTTTTATAGTTTTCAATGTACAGGTCTTTAAATCCTTTGGTTAAATTTATTCCTACATAGTTTATTCTTTGAGTATTATTGTAGTTGGAATTATTTTCTTAATTTTCTTTTTGGATCATTCATTGATGGAATATAGAGATGCAACTGATTTTTGTGCTTTTATCTTATATGTTGCTAAGTGTATTAAGTCTATTAGTTTTCTTTTAATGGATTCTCTGAGAGTTTATGAATATAATCATGTCATCTGCAAAGACAGGTAATTTTAATTCTTCTTTTTCAATTTGGATGCCTTTTATTTCTTTTTCTCACTGAATTGCTCTGGCTAGGACTTCCAGTACAATGGTTAATAGCAGCGGTGAAAATGGGTATCCTTGTCTTGTTCCTGATACCAGCAGGGGAAACTTTCAGTCTTTCATTATTGAATACGATATTGGTTGTGGGGTTTTCACAAATGCTATCCTGTTATGTAGGTTCCCTTCTATTCTAGTTTGCTGAGTGCTTATCACAAAAAAGTACTGAATTTTGTCAAGTCTTTTTCTGTATCTATTGAAATGATCATGAAGTTTTTTCCTTCCTTTTATCTACTTTTTTTGGGTTAGACTTCAAGGTATTAAGAACAGTAACATTAGACAATTTAATTTTCAAATAAATGTAGAATAACATTGTAATTTTCTGAATTCTTTTTTTAAATTTATTTTCTGAATTCTTAAATGAACTTTGTTATTAATTGGTTTCCTTATCGAGACAAAAAGCAAGCACACACAAACAGATTATAAAGGCCAGTAGAGCTATCTTTGGAGTTACTATCCTAGAGAAAATACCTATGACAACATCTGCTTCAGTTACATATGCAAAGCATTTCATAAAATATTAAGAAGAAAAGTAAGCTTCATAAATAATTAAAGTTTAACAAAAGCTCCTAGGGCCATCTGTTCCCATTTAGGGGATGAATAATATAGAAAGCACTTTAACATTTACAGTATGTTGGATGAATTACCACCAAAATATCTTTGGGAATATGTCACATTTTGAACAAGGTAATAATGATATAAAATAAAAAAATCTAAAAAGTGTCAAACTTCCCTTTAGGTTGCTTTCAGCAGCATAGCAAGAGCAGCATAACAAGCTCTTCGTAACAGAAAAGCACATGGTATAAAACTTGTAGGCCTCCTCCGGTACAAGTCAGAACGAAAGGGCACATCTCCTAGACACATTATTCTTATTAAATTTTTATTCCTACCACTTTCAATTTAAATGTAAGAGCATCTCATTTATTTCTCATTTCTGGGGAGTGAGATACTCATATGAGTGAATGCAGAAAATGAAAGGTTATCTCTTTATGTGTCCAAACTAGTTCATAAATTCTTAATTCATTTTCTATTAAAATAATACAAGCTAAAGAGAATATAGTAGAAGAGCATGGAAAGCACTATGTGTGAGTGTGTAACCTCAGGCCAAGCCACATAAACTTCTGAGTCTAATTTCCTCCATATAAAATGAACACGGTAATGGCAACCTCATGGGATTCAAAATATACCCCATGCTAAAAGTCTTAAATTGTTAAGTGTGTGTAAAATATTAGCTATCTGTTATGACTATGTTTCCTGTTTTATAAACTAAGGGTAGTGTATCCAGTCCAACTTATTCTTGGAAAAAAACGTTTCAAAGAATTTTGCTAGAAGATAACCTCTCTGATAAAATTAGAATAAATGTAATTGGATTAAAAATACAGTTTATAATAAAATTAGAAATAAAAATGTCACCCTACCACCCTACCACATATTCCAACTGAACGGAAACTGCAAAACTCATTTCTAAATAATCATGGGTTAATAAGGAGAAAAAAACAAAAATAATAACAAAAGCCCTACATATCACAGAATGCAGTTCAAGCAGAAAATCCCTTTTTTTTTTTTTTTTAAGGTTTAAACAAATTTACTTAAAAACAAGAAAGGCTGAAAATATAGGATCTAAATAGAAAAAGAAGTTTGAGAAAGAACAATAACAAACTATAAGAAAGTAGAAAGAAATAATGAATATAAAGGCAAAAATTAAGGAAATAGAAACAACACTGAGAAGCACAATAAAGGTCATTTTATCTGGTTCTTGGCAAAGATTAATAAAATAGACCGGTGAGTCTGATCAAAATAAGACGGACAGCACAAACAATATTAAAAACAAAAACAGAGACAATTCTAGAAGCAAACAAGTTTATGACATCAAATCTGATAAATGGACAATTGTCTAGGAAAATTGGACATTTTAATGAAATGGATAATGGTCTAGGAAAATGTAAGTCACCCAAACATACTGAAAAAGAAACAGAAAACCTAAATGGACAAATAAACATAAAAAATTAAATCACGGCTGGGCATGGTGGTTCATGCCTGTAATCCCAGCACTTTGGGAGGTGAGGAAGGTGGACCAATTGAGGCCAGGACTTCAAGACTAGCCTGACCAATATGGTGAAACCTTGTCTCTACTAAAAATAACAACAATAACAACAACAACAAAATTGTTCACTAGTCAAAAATCAACCACTTTATAGAAGGAACAAAGATGTTTTTCATAGACTTTTCCCCCAAAATTCTTTTCTGAAAAATTCAAATATATATGCATTAAAATCAAACAAATTATACAGTAAATACTTATATACATACTATATAGATTCTCCAATCAACATTTTACATTTTCCTTTTTTTCTTAGATTTTGGGGGGTAACAATATAAGAAAACAGATATATGACAGGACTTCAAAGCACCAAGCTAGTGATTTTTGTATTTCCATATCAACCTAGCATTTTTAACACTTTTCTAAACACAGAATTGAGAGCTCTGGTACAGTGAAAACGAGAATATATACACAAGAGGCATTCAGGATGAAGAGTCTGTGCTTTTCCTTCCTGTCTTTGGACACTGTCATGTGAAAATGGATATCCTGATCCCTCTCCTAAAAGTATTAGCCAGTCCTCACTCTCCCTGACAAAAAAAAAAAAAGAAAAAAAGAAAAAAAAAAAAAAGAATTGAACTGGATCTTTTAAAGTAGCAGCTATGAAATGCATATTTTTAAAAAATGCATTCCTTTAGTCAGGAAACATTTATTGTGCATTTAATTTGTCAGACAAAAAACATTTACTAACCACAGGAACAATTTATCTTCCAATGGATAGTTTCACAACTGCAAAACATTTTAATCTATCGAATCTTGAAGAAAAGTCATTACATTTATTTTCTCTGCATACAATGTGACATGTCAGCAAACTTGATGGATCTCAACACTTTTAAATGAAAAGACTGCTATCAAAGAATTACAGCATATAGATAATAGGGCTTAATTTGAAAAACAAACAACAAAAAAAACAAACCAAGACCTTGTTGTTTTTATAACAATTACAAAACGCTCCTTTTCCCTTTGTGCTCTTTTAATACTCTTTGTACTGACACATGACCTGTTGTTTCCCCCATGTGAGCAGAGTGCATTTAAACTTTGAGCAGAATATAAAACGTTTAAACCTTTCTGAAAGGCAATGCACATGGCAATGGGCCAATGTTCTAAGCTACCTTGTATCATCACCTCTCCTTTTGCCCTTGGTGCCATCTTCACCAAGTCATCACCAAGGAGAACAGAATCTCCTCCAACTTTGTTAGAAGGAATGCTGTTACCAGGAAATTTGTCTGTTAATGCATTCTTCTAATATCACTGGTACCTTCATTTTCTTTGTATGCAGAAATACTTTAGCTCCTAAGTTGGATAACACTACACATTGCACCAAAGGTAACTTACCTTGCTGGAGTTTTCTAATAAAAACTGGAATGTGTTCTGTACAGCTTGACATGTTTCTAGCTCAGTCCGGCTGAAGGCTATTAAATAATCCTTGAGATGATCATACACATTTCCATCAAGAGCCTGTAATGGAGTAAATAAAAGCAAAAAAAATTATAGTAAAGCTTTGACACATGATACCTTCTGTCTATGAGAAAAGTAGGTATGTTCAGTTTAAAATCTATTATTAATAATAAATGGACAAAAGATATAGATTGTAAGTAAATATGAACAGTTAACAATCACTTGAGAAAATGTTGACTCTCTCTAATAAACAGGAACTAAAAGAGGTAAAATCCAATATTGGTAAAGCTGTGGGAAAACAGGACACAACTTAGAGACAAAATGCGTGGGTTCTGATCTTTGCTCATCTGCTTAGGTGTAGGAGTTAAGTGAAATAATAAATGTGAAAGGATGCAGGTGCAGTGCCTGGAAAAGAGTAGACACTCTATAATATAAATTTCCTCCGTTTTCCCCCTATCATTATTGGTAGGATTATACATTGGTATATGTATATTTACTAAACAGCAGTGACAGAAAAAACACAATAGAAATATTAAAAAAAAGAAAAGTGGGGCCGGGCGCGGTGGCTCACGCCTGTAATCCCAGCACTTTGGGAGGCCGAGGCGGGCGGATCACAAGGTCAGGAGATCGAGACCATCCTGGTGAACATGGTGAAACCCCGTCTCTACTAAAAATACAAAAGAATTAGCCAGGCATGGTGGCAGGCGCCTGTAGTCCCAGCTTCTCGGGAGGCTCAGGCAGGAGAACTGCTTGAACCCGGGAGGCGGAGGTTGCAGTGAGCTGAGTTTGTGCCACTGAACTCCAGCTCTAGGTGACAGAGCAAGACTCAGTCTTGGTAAATAAGTAAATAAGTAAGTAAGTAAATAAATAAATAAATAAATAAGGTTGTCTTTTTGTTGTTGGGTTGTAAGACTCCTTTACATATTCTGGATACTAGATTCTTACAACATGTATTATTTACAAATATTTTCTCCCATTTTATGGGCTGTCTTTTCACTTTCTTGAAAGTTTCTTTTGATGTACAAAAGTTTTACTTAAAAAAAATGAGATAAGGTCTTGTCATGTTTCCAAGGTTGGACTCAAACTTCTGGGCTCCAGTAATCCGTCTGTCTCAGCCTCCCAAATAGCTGGGACCATAGGCACTCACCAGGACCATAGGCACTCACCGCTGCATCCGGCTTATAAGTTTTAAATTTTGATGCAGTCTAACTTAGCTATTTTTCTTTTTTTTTTCTTTTCTTGAGACAGTCTTACTCTGTCCCCTAGGCTGGAGTGCAGTGGCGCCATCTCGGCTCACTGCAAGCTCTGCCTCCCGGGTTCACACCATTCTCCTGCCTCAGTCTCCCGAGTAGCTGGGACTACAGGTGCCTGCCACCACGCCTGGCTTTTTGTTTGTTTGTTTGTATTTTTGTATTTTTAGTAGAGATGGGGTTTCACTGTGTTAGCCAGGATGGTCTTGATCTCCTGACCTCGTGATTCACCCACCTTGGCCTCCCAAAGTGCTGGGATTACAGACGTGAGCCACCACACCTGGCCCAGCTATTTTTCTTTTGTTGCTTCTGTGTTGGTATTATATCTAAGAATCCTCAATGGAAGTCTTCCATTGTATCTTATGTTTGGCTGTCCCATTAAACTTTTACTATGTTTTTTGTTTGTTTGTTTGTTTTTGTTTTTGTTTTTTAAATACACAAATTCTGTCCCAAAAGCACTGAGTAATAAAGCTGCACCTTCTATAGTGCTTACACCACTAGATGACACCATGGAGCACTTCAAATTTAGGCATTGCAAATATTTTTACTATGATTTCCATGTAATTATGTAACATCACCAGAGACACTGCTGGTGTTAAGTCTGAATAAATTTCCTACATCAGGACATACTTTTCCTGAACTTGTTTAGAGAAAGAAACATATAACATCTTCTGATATAAGGTTTCTGCCTTAGAAATGGTCTTGGTGGACAATCATAACAAGATTATGCTTTGGCAGGAAACCACTGGAGTATTTTATTTGAGTACAGCAAATGGTAATACAGGCATCATGAGCTCAAAAAAAAAAAAAAAAGGCATGAATTTTAAGGTGAACCAAATACCCACACAGTTTCTATTATCTCAGTAAAATATAAACAGTATCCACTGTGCCCGGGCTCTGTGCTAGCTGTATGGGTCTGAGTGAGAGGGAGGAAAAAAGTTGAAAAAAAAAGTACCAAAGTTCTGCTGGTACTTCTGTTTTTGACCTTACTATAATCAGGATTATTTCTGATTATAGATATTTCTCACTAAAGGCAATGTACTATTAATTTTGATAGAAGTATATCAGAAATCAGGAATTATACTTTCACTCAGCTTCTTAAATCCTACTTAAAAAAATCTAGCTGGGTACCGTGACATGTGCCTATGATCTCAGCTACTTGGGAGGCTGAGGCAGGAAGACTGTTTGAGCCCAAGAGTTTGAATCTGCAGTGATCTATTATCATGCCACTGCACCCCAGTCTGGGCAACAGAGCGGGAGCCTGTCTTTAAAATAAATAAATAAATAAATAAATTTCTAAACACTTTATAAAGACATTTAAGAAGTAATTTGTTGTTATAGTATATTTCACTTCAGCAATAAAACATACATTATCTCATCATGAGATAATAACTGACGCATGTATTCCAGGGTCCACCAGTAGACACGATTATTGAAATGGCTGCCAAAGCCTTACCAAAGTGATGGCAGTGGCTGCTGCCATCATGCTGGCTACAGCAGGGAAGTACTGCTGGGGCTGCACACTCCATGGAGCCAGTGGCTCCGGGGCCCTGCCCCTTCTGAGTTGGGATGGGAGCTCCCCAGGTACCACTGCAGTTGCCCAAACTGCAGCTGCAGACCCTGGCCTCCTGGTCTACGGAGCAGGCAGGAGCCCCACCCTCCTGAGAGGGGCCACAGCTGCCCAAACTGCAGCTGTGGATCCGAGCTTCCCTGTGTTCCCAGAGGAGGGCCAGGAAGGGTCCCCTGCCCCTGTCCCTTGCTGGCTTGGGGATGTCTGTTCCCGCTGCCTGGCCTCTCTCTTCTCCTGCAGCCCACTCCGATTAGCGGGGTTGAAACTGAGCCCTAGGGCCTTGAATAGCAGCGGGAGGCAGAGTCCTGGGCAGAAGAGGGTGGGTTCCCAGTAAGGCCCCACCTTCAAGCCAGGGAGGGCCTGAAGACTGGGGGTTGGACTGCCAGTCCGGCAGACCAGAGTGGGGACTGGTGGTCCCTCTTCTGGGCCTTCCCATGGCTGCCCATAGACCAATCTGCATACACTTCCCCCATTTTGAGGTCCATAAAAGCCCTGGGCTCAGCCAGAGCAAGGCAGAGGATGGCCAGAGGAAGAAGAGGGCAGAGAGAGGAGGGGACGATCAGTTGCAGAGAGGAGTATTCTCTCTGCTAATAGCTGGAGACGATGGGAAGGCCAGCTGCAGAGAGGAGCACTCTCTCCACTGAAAGCTGCAGAGACAACCTGCCAGCAGAGAGGAGCTACTCTCTCTGCTGAGAGCTTCAGAGACCTGCAGACATCCGAATGACTTGCCTGTGGAGAAAAGCCACCCTCTCCAGGGCCTCCTCTCTGCTGAGACCTGACACTCCAAGGGACGATATGCCTACAGGGAGGAGCTACCCACTTCTCTGAGCTGTTCTAACAGTAAATAAAACTCTTCTTCTTTACCCTTCACTTGTCTGCCTACCTCATACTTCCTGGACACAGGACAAGAACTCGGGCAAAGGCGCCATGGCCACAGAGGTTTCTAGCCAGAAAAACTGGTACCCCAGAGATCCCGTAACAAAAGGAGGTTGATTAGATATACTGAACTTTTGTTGATAGTTTTGAATTTGATGTAGAAGCATCTTTCTTCACTTACATTGGCAGAATATCAACCAGAATTATACAGATGTGCATTATTTAATATAAAAGAGTTAAAAAATGGCAACTTGGTGCACTAGTAGTACCTAACTACTTATATGAAAAAGATTTACTTCCAACAGGGATTTGAAACATTCTTTTAAAAAAGGTAAATCCCTACTTAATAGTAATAAATCCTAGTTTTTACTATCTTAACAGTTCACAAGCACAAATGTATTTCAGTCCTGCCCTCTCTTCTTTTCTGGGTAGGCAAAAAACTCTGTAAGCCTTTAAGAGTAAGGAAGATCCTTCAGATATGAGCTGCCTTCCATTTTCTAAGGTCTAACTAAACCAGATGTTCCCAACTTTAAGTATGCCTAAGAATCACTGCAGAGCTTATAAAAGCACAGATATGTTTCAGAGCAGTGAGGCTATTCTGTATGATACTACAATGGTGGATACATGTCATTATACATTTGTCTAAACTGATAATGTACAAAGAATGAACCCTAATGTAAACTATGAATTTGGGGTGATGATGATGGTGTCAATGTATGTTCATCAATTGTAATAAATATGCCACTCTGATGGGGGATGTTGATAGTGGGAGGAATTGTATGTAGGGGAAGGGAGTGTAAGGGAAATCTCTGTACCTTCTGTTGAATTTTGCTGTGGAACTAAAACTGCTCTAAACAATAAAGCCTGCTTAAAAAAACAGAAACACAAATTGCTGGGCCCCACCCAGAATCTCTGATTCAGCAGGCTGAAGGTGGGCCCTAAGAGTCTGCATTTTCTAACAACTTGCCACTGGCCTGGAACCATACTTTGAAAATTACTGGACTGCACAGTTACTTTAGCTGACTAGGTTGAGCATTTATGTGGACTTAGATTCTGGTGACCCTCTGGAAGTAGAGTAGCTGCAGGCAGAGAAGCCTACCATCCTGAATAGGGTCAAGAGCACCAATAGGTACTGTTATTGTAGATGGATCAGCAGCTGTTTTCAACTGGGAATCATGCTCTACTTCAAATGCCAGACAGGAAAGAGCTTGAGCTCTGAAATCAGTTGGATGTAGGTTAGAATCCCAGAGCTTTTACTTACTTTATCATGTTGATGGTCTTCTCATTTATAATTAGGGAAAGTGGGAGTACCACATACTCTACAGGACATAGTGAAGATTAAATAAGGTAAAGAATGTGGTACA